ATCACGTATTTAGAATTGGGGAACACCGAGGCCATTTCTCTCGCAATAAAAGGTCCTCTCTCAGGATAGCTTTTCTGACCATATGACAAAAACAAAGAGACACACACCAGTCATGGATCATAACTACTTAATTAAACAAGTATAAGTTATTAAGTAGGCCTTACAGAGCAGGGAAACATATAGGTAGTGATCAAGGTNCCTCCTTCTCCCTCTTCCTCCGGATCTTCCTCTCTGCCTCTTCCATGGCCGTTTCCTCCTTCTTCCTCTTCCTCCCGATCCTCCACCGGATCTTCCTCTCTGGCTCGATCAAAACCCTAGACACAGAAACAGATTGTTAGGTGACTCGGGTCTGCAGAGAAGAGAGAGAGCTCGAGAATTGAAAAATTACCTGAGATCTAAAGCTGTCGCCGGGGAACATCGTAGGAGAAGAACGATGAGAGAGAGAGAGAGTAGGAGAAGAACGATGAGAGAGAGAGAGGCAGCTTGTTTTTTATGTCGGTCCCTTTTTAATAAAAAGGAGTATTTATATGTCAAGTTATTTTTCTGGTTAGGTTAAAACTCTTTGGTTTAATTTTGGTTTGGTTAAAATTATTTTGGTCAAACTTTAGGTTAGGTAGACTTCCAAAGAAGTCTACTATAATATTTTTCTTTATTGTTTAAATAGTTTATAATCAAATTTTTTTTTCATTATATATTTAATAGACTTAGTATATATATTTTTTTTTGATAAAATTGTAATTTACATTTGAATTCATAAATAAATAAATTTAATTTTAAAATAATTTTTTTTTGTAATCACCAATTATAGTAGACTAAAAGAGACGTCTACTATCGAAATAGACTTTGCCGTAAGTATTGGCGCCAATAGGAAAAAATAGGCTCCAAAATTCATTTTCGTTTCCCGCTTAGTTAATTTTAATTTTAAAATATTTATTTTGATAAACACCAATTAATGTAGACTGAAATAGATGTCTACATATACGTAGACTTTACTGTAAGTCTACTATACCCTAAATAATGGCGCCAATAAGGAAAAATAGGCTCCAAAATTCATTTTCATTTCCCGCTTAATTAATTTTAATTTTAAAATAATTTATTTTGGTAAACATAAATTAACGTAGACTGAAATAGACGTCTACATATAAGTAGACTTAACTGTAAGTCTACTATACTCTAAGTTGGTTAAATCCGGTTATGTTAATTTGGTATAAGTGTGTAGACTTACGGGTAAGTCTACAACTCCGTTTTTTTTTTTTTTTGCTTTATTGTTTGAGCAAACCCTAAATGTAAGTAGACTTTATTGTAAGTCTACTATAACCCTAAACCACAAATCTGATACCCTAAATATTTATTTGATAATCAAAATGTATTAATTATTATATTAAATATCTAAATATAGAAAAAATAAACTTCTCAACATTAGTGTGTCAAAAAAACAAAAAAAAATTAAAATCAAATATCTAACCCTAATATATGAATCTAACCCTAAAAGACAAAGCATGTTATACCATTTTGTTGGGAAACCATAACACATTATCTTTCACATGGTTACCAATTCAANTACAAATGTGTAGACTTCTCTCTATTATGTGTAGACTTGCAAAGGACAGAACCGTAAAATAACTGTCTGTTTTTTTGTTTGGTCACAAGGGTTAAGTAGTAACTTCATAACCCCTTTAGGTTGGTTTTGCATTTGACTCAATAAGGGGTACACCTTTAGGGTTGAAATGAAATTTTAGGTTGGTTTTGGCAAATCCCCCCTTTTTCATCTAAATAAATTATCGCTCATCATTAAATGAGTTAAAATTTATAAATTATATAATATTTTTATACAAAATAAATGTATTAACATAGGTTAAACTTTTATATATACAAATATCCATAATCTTTTTATTTATTTTGAAATTCTAAACGATATAGTTTTTTAAAATGTTTATATACAAATCTAAGAATATATAATAACTTGTAGTTCATATACTATTTTATAAAATATGTTATTAAAAACTATGAAAATTTTACTAATTCATTTAATATACTAATGACAAGTAAAAATTTTAACAGTAAATTTATTTTTATGTTAATAATAACAAATCTGTTGAGAACATTTTCAAAAAATATTACCAGAAATTCAAATATTTTTTATAAAATAATATATTAATGTAGTAACATAAATAAGTTCAAAATTCATGTAATGTTCCAAACTCAAAAATAGTTGTGTAATTTCCAAAATTTTCTTGAAAATAAATATTCAAACCCAAAATAATAATATTTTAAATTTTACAAAATATAAAATAAAGAATAACTTTTTGAAATACACCTTGCAAAAACGAACTATATGTGTTGTAAAAATTAAAGCAACTAATATTCTGAAGTTTTAATTTGAAAAGGTAAAAACTAATAGCATAACATCCAAAAAAATAATACATCAATAAAACTTACTAAAAGGATATGATGGATACTCCTTATAAAAATTACTAAAACAACAGGGCTATATTATAAACAAAATAATGTTTTTACTAAAAATCCCGTAAAATACGAAAATGATAAATTTTAAAGTATATTTTATTAAACATAACATGTAAATATAAATTATTTTGTTTAAAAAAATTATGATACAAATAAATAAAATTTAGAAATGTATTATATGCAAAATATATAAATTAAAGAAAATTTTGAAAGAGATTTTCTATTTGATTATTTCATATTGTTATTTTACTATACCTAACTCAAAAATATATTACTAAGTAATAAAAATTAATAATGCGAATAAGAAATATAAACAATTATACTATAGAATTATACAATATATAACACTAAAATGTAAATTATATTTTTTTAAAATGTAATAATGTCAAATACATTTATAAAACAGAAAAATATCTACACGGAAGTGCGGGTTATAATCTAGTTCATTGTTAAACAATGGACACTATACATCATGACCAAGATAAAAGAAGTTCAAAATTCAATAAACTATAAAACAGTTACATGAATGTTACAATATTCACCCGCGGATCCAATATCTAGTTTTTCAAATTAAAATCTGTAATATAACTTTGGTGAAATGTTATTGGGCTAACAATATGGGTCTGGGCCTAATTTGGTCGCCTTCTGCGAGTTTCGACTTCAACTTATTAAAACAACTAGGTCTGGTCTGCCTCTCGAATCGTCGGAGAAGGAGAGAGAGAGAGAAAAAACAGAGTGATGGGAGGGAAAGGTAAGAAGAGGAGAGAGAAAAACTATTTAGCAGCTCACGGCGGACCAGCGAGACTCCCGCCGCCGCCTGATCGCTCGAAGCAAGATGCACTTCCTTCCAAGCTCCGTGTTCTCATGAACTACACCTCTCCGCCTCCTCCTCCTCAAGGTACCTTCTATTTGTCTTCTCATGTAGAGAAAGAAAGAGTTTTTTTTACCTCTATGTGTTTAACTCTTTGTTATATGTGCTCTTCCTTTAGATTCTACTAAACAAGTTGTAGAGAAGAAAGAGAAGAATACTAAAGCTGGAGCAGATGCGGCTAAGGTGTGTTTTTTTATTCTTCTAATTTATAGAAATCGAATCAATTTTAGGGTTTTACTGCACTAAGAAGTTAAGAACTTAATCATGGTGCTGTCTCGTTTAAAGAAAGTGCAACCCTTTCGTGGTCTTTTTTAGCCGCAAAATGATTCTTGTGAGGCAAATTCAAACTCTTTGTTTTGTGAAACATATGGAACTTTTGCAATCAGAGTGTCAAGCCTGGGAGCGAAGCAAAGGTGGTTAAAGAAGGAAAATCAGAGGGCTACACAACCTCATCTGATCATGAGAATGATGGAGATGATATAACGCTGAACAAGGGAGATGAAAAGAAGAAGAAAAAGAGAAAGAGGAATCAGATCAAGGACCTTCGTTTCGAACAGGAGCTTGCAGAGTTGGATGGTCGGTCCAAAAAGAAAGAACGCAAGAAGAAGTAAGAGCCTTTCTTCAGTTCCATTGCTCTTAAAGGCTAATCCTTGTATGTTATGTTTGAGCTTGATGATTTGATCCTACTTTAATGCACAGGTATTGGGAGGCCAAGAAGCAAAAGAAGAAAGGAAAGACGGAAGATACACTCCGAGAAAACTTCCCCAAGCATGAGCAAATTAGATTTGGTGATGTGGTGCAAGCTCCACCAAAGTTGGCTGTTGTTCCAAAGGTATATACTCTCACTATAGCTGTAAGAAAATCTCAGGGATATAGCTTATTATGTTATCTGGTTCAAATGATTGATTTTATGTTTTATTTTGACAGGCACGAAAGACTCCTATGAGTGCTTCCAAGGAGAGGCTGCGATTAGAGGCCATTGAAGCCTACAGATCTCGTAATGGATGGACCTCAAGACCAGGTGTTCAGATTCCTACCGTGACCATGCAATAAGATGGGCCATGAACTCAGTTTTGTGCTGAACTAGTTCGGATTCTAACGTTGTAATAGTTGAATTATCCAAACATTTCTTTCAATACGTAAAACTGGATTATTTATTTGAGTAGAATTAAAAAAATTTGCTGTTTGTTTCCATCTTTCTTGATGAATTTTTATCAATACTCTGTTCATGCTTGGCTCAACTTTCACACTCTATGCTTCTTTAGGGGTTCAGGCAACATAACGTTTTCTGATAAACAAATGTTGGGTTACATGAAGCAGGGACAACAAAACTGTTGCATGTGTTCTTCTTAGCTTGGTTAAATCAAAGTGCTTGTCCTCTCGAAATTGCGTAGAGATGAGAGTTCTTCTTGGGTATGAAGTGTAAATACTTTCTTATTGTAATGCACGTTGCTCTTCTCAACAGTCATTTTGAAGGGAAGAAGTGCTATTGCTACCATCTTCATTTGCTGGTATGACAAGTCCTTGCCAACACAGATTCTTGAACCAGCCTACATACACAGTCAAAGAAAGAAAACATCTCAGGTATTAAGAGAATGTCTTTACTCATAACAACATGCATAGCTTGTCAGCAATAGAGTATACAGTACAAACATGAAAGCATATGGATTTGAATGGTGATTCTGGTTGGAACACAGCCAACCTCAAGCCATCTCTCTGGCTTGAATTCCTCAGTATCTTATCCCCGTAAGACATCATCCCCTTTGGTCACTCTATCCATCTGGAAGTTTCCCCTCTGGAAGATGGTTAATTAGGCCCAAAATAAGGCCCATAGCTTAAGTGTCAGGTTTTAAAAACGAATCCAAACCTTCTCTCCCATCTAGAAGGTTAAGGACTTCCGTATGATCCTTCTACTTGTGCGTCTTTTCTTGGTTAATAGTTCTTTCGATTTGATTCCTTTCCGACATGAATTCAATCTCCGAGCAAAACATGGTGAGTGAATCCAAGGTTTTTCTTTCACGTATCGTTACTGTTTGTCTAAATTCGGGTTTTTTTTTGTTTGTTTGTTAGATATGAGTTTCCTCAGAGGTATAATCGATTCCTTGAACTCAGTTTTCACCGAAGTAGACAACAATCATCGTTACGAACAATCCAAACACGATCGCACCGTGTCAACCTCTTCTAATCCCATGAGCGGCGTCGATGGTGGAGGACCAGTTACTAACGAACGAGTTGCGTATAAGCTCAAAGGATACTTCGATTTAGCGAAAGAAGAAATCGCTAAAGGTGTTAGATCAGAAGAGTGGGGTTTACATGAAGACGCTCTTCTTCATTACAGAAACGCTCAGAGGATCATGAACGAAGCTAGTTCTACGCCTTGTACTTCCTATATCAGTTCCAGGTATTGCAATACTTTTTTTTCTTGAATACTTTGGGAACCATAGCATATGTAATATTAGTTTCGAACTAGGGACCTCTTACACAATGCTCAGGTTCCTTTCCAGTTGAGCTAATGGACTTTTGTTATTGTAAGATTGACTTCTTTTTGAGATGTTTTGATTTGGTTTTGTTGACTTTTGTTTGGTAGTGAGAAAGAGAAGGTGAGATTGTATAGAGAGAAGATTTTGAAGTGGCAGAGTCAAGTATCTGGGAGATTGCAAACTCTGAGTAAACGTACAGGTGATCAGTTCGATGCTGAGTGTCTGCATATTGATTTTTTTTTTATATGTTGTGAAGAAGCACAAGTGAATTCACATTGACGCTTTGTCTTGTTTTTGCTTGTTTCTTACATCAATGGGCTTCTTACATTAGGTGTTGGAATGTCTGAGAATAAGGTATTGTCTTGCTTCTTTCTCTCCTTTCATTGTTCCTTAGTGTTGGAAGGAGAATGTGATGTTTGTATTGGTAATGCCAGAGAGCTGTACCATCTCCTTCTTCAGCTTCTGTTTCCACAGCGTCAAATAGAAGAATTTCATCACAAAGGACTTCACTTCCCAGAGGTGGCACTGGAATGGCAAGGAGTCCTAGAAATGCTACTACAAACCCAAAACCTGTGAAAGAATCTGCAAGTGGATACGATGATAAGTTAGTGGAGATGATAAACACAACGATAGTGGATAGAAGTCCATCTGTGAAGTGGGATGATGTCGGTGAGTAGCAGCATTGTTATGTATTTTCTTCTAAGAAATATATATGTGGAACCAACGCTTATGTTGAAAAATACTGCAGCTGGACTTGATGGAGCTAAACAAGCGTTAATGGAGATGGTTATCTTACCAGCAAAACGAAGAGATTTATTCACTGGTCTCCGAAGGCCAGCTAGAGGTGAAAAAAGTTGGAAGCTTGGTTTCTTCTTGATCTTCTCCTCTACCGTCCTTTGCTAAAGTTTCTTCTTCTTTTTTTATTAGGTTTGCTTCTCTTTGGCCCGCCTGGTAATGGAAAAACAATGCTTGCCAAGGCAGTTGCTTCTGAGTCTCAGGCAACGTTCTTCAATGTCTCAGCATCTTCTTTGACATCAAAATGGGTATGTGCTTAGTCTGCTTCTGTTATTAGTACCCTCTTGTATCATAAGGATTGTTAAGATTTTTTTTCAGTCCAAATAGATAAACTCACTTTACTTTACTTGATTCAGGTGGGTGAGGCTGAAAAGCTAGTTAAAACGTTGTTTCAAGTTGCAATATCCAGACAACCGTCTGTAATTTTTATGGATGAAGTAAGTACTTTTTTTTCCTTTCCTGTCTTATATATTTGAGTAGACATAGAACCTACTCTTACCAGAGTTTTGGACAATACCATCCTACGTAGTTGTATTTGATGGTGCTCCCTGATATTTTATTAGAAAGTGGCACCCGTAGGCCGTAGTAAAGATACGGTCATACAGCCATTGGAATATACCGTACTTGATTTGTTTGAATTTAGATCTGTTTCATGATAAGGATATTATCACTTGGAGATCTGAATGTGTGCGTTTTGCTCCGGTTTTCAGATAGATAGTATAATGTCTACAAGGTCGATCAGTGAGAATGAAGCAAGCAGAAGGTTGAAATCAGAATTCCTTATCCAGTTTGATGGTGTGACTTCTAATCCTGATGATTTGGTGATTGTCATAGGTAATGCGTCCTGTTAGTTCAAGTCTTCATGTCTGATATATATGTACTTGAATTGCAGAGAACATCTCTCTGAGTATCGGTTTAAATCTATTATGTTTCCATATAAAACTTATTTGGATGTAATGTGGTTGCAGGAGCTACTAACAAGCCACAGGAATTGGATGATGCGGTGCTTAGAAGACTGGTAAGGACATTATCGCCTTCAGGATGTCCATGTCCACCAATCCCTAGGAAAGAATCTGATTATTATATGCTTTTGATTTTATTACTTTGTTAGGTGAAGAGAATATATGTACCATTGCCGGATACAAACGTGAGAAAACTACTTTTTAAAACTAAACTGAAGTGCCAGCCTCACTCGTTATCCAGTGGCGACATTGATAAAATCGTCAGAGAAACCGAAGGCAAGCTTTATAGATTGTGTATAAGAAACATAAATAGTTTATTAATGTTTAGTAGTCAAAAGTAATCTAATAAGGATATAAGCTACTTATGTAACAGGATACTCAGGAAGTGATCTACAAGCATTGTGTGAAGAAGCTGCAATGATGCCAATCAGAGAACTCGGTGCTAATATTCTTACCATCCAAGCAAATAAAGTATTAAACCAACCTCTTCTAAACTCTATAGTGTCTCAAATCAATTTGAAGTCTCTTTGTGTTGAAAAGGTTTGTTTGTTTGTTTGTTTGATGAATGGATGTGTAATGTTTACAGGTGAGACCGCTAAAGTATGATGATTTTCGGAAATCAATGGCAGTGATTAGACCAAGCTTGAGTAAAAGCAAATGGGAAGAGCTTGAACGTTGGAACTCTGAGTTTGGCTCTAATTGAATCACTTCTTGTGTATAGTGCTTCTCTTGTAAAAAGACTATTGTGATATGGTGTATAGTCTAAAAACAATCGAAATTTTTACACCTTAAAGGAAAATTTATATTAAAAATCAAGGTACAAGCTACTTAATGTGCATATGATTATGATTAATTTAGTTTATTAATCTGTGATAAAGTTGTGGAAGTCACCTTAAGTTTAGTCCAACTAGGTGTTTTGCGCGCATTTGTGGGCATAATTTTCTTATAAATATTTATTAGTTAATGTTTCATTAATTTAAAAACCAGCATAAGTTATTATTTATATTTTCAAAAAGTACAAATCAAACATCAAATAATTATTAATAACAAAACCCAAACATCAGAAATATTTAAAAGAATATATTTCTATAATTATTTTGCTTGATTTATATTTAATTATAATATTTATACAAATTTTTTACTTAATTTATATTTAATTGTAATTTTTATATCTTTATTTTGAATTTTATAATAGAAAACATATTTTCAAGATAACAATATCATTCATAGGTTATTTATTTCTAAAAATATAATATGATAATTTTTTAATTATATAAGATTATAAAAATTATGACATATAATTAAAATTAACTAAAATCCGAAACACTTAATGAAACAGCAAATTCACTTCTTAAATAATTTTTCTTGAGTGTTAATCTATATTTAATTAATAATAGATAATTTTCTATTTTACTTTTAAATTATATAATATAAAAGTATATTTTCAAGAGAACAACATAATACATAACAATTACCTTATTTTCTAAAAGTATAATATTATTAATGTAAATTTATTTCAGTTATAGAATAACTACAACTTTTTATATCTTAGTTTTAAATTTATAATACAAAAGTATATTTTCAAGATAACAACTTAATACATAAGAAATATCTTATTTTCTAAGAATTTGATACTATTAATATAAATTTGTTTTAAATATATAATAAATTATATATAAAATTATAGAAATTATGATAAATTATCAAAATTACTTAAAATCATGGAAAATATGACAAATCAGCAAACATCAAATTCACTTCTTAAATAATAGTATAGATTTTTTACATGTTAATTTTAAATTTTATTATAGAAAAATAAATTTTCAAGATAACAACATAATACATAAGAATTAACTTATTTTCTGAAATATAAATTTAATTATTAATAATATAATTTTTATATCTTAATTTTAAGTTTTATAATAGGAAAATATATTTTCAGCATAACAACATAATACATAAGAATTGTCTTCTTAAGTTTTATATATAAAAATATATATCTAGATGATAAGATAATTCTTACCTAATAGTATAGATGATTTTATGATTTAACTAGATTCTGGCGGGTATTTTTTTGTTTTATTTTTTTAATTTAATTTTTATATTTATGTTTTTTTTGTTAATCATATTTATGTTTAATATTAATTTAATATAATATAATTTTTAATAACTATATTAAATATATCATGTTGCATAATTATACAATGTGCTATACTCATTTCATAAATTGCTTTTAAACTTTGTTTATAAAGTTTGTAACATATTATATTTTTTTAGTAGTTACTTAGCATAATTAAGCAAAAATGTTCGTACAAAAAAAACAATTTTGCAATCGACTGGAAAATCAAAGTCTCGCGTATATATTCGAACAGTTCTTAAAGTGTTATATCCGAAAACCAATATCATATCCAACCATCCCAACCCGCCACGAAGACTAAACAATTTTTTTGAAAAATGTAAAAATAATTATAATATTTTTTAAATATATATGGATATATTAATTTTATAATTCATTGTAAATATATTAATTTCATTTTTAATCTATATTTTTAAAAACAGTTTTATAAATTTAATTTAATTTAATTATTATGACACATTATTGTTTATTAAGCAAGCTTATTCTTTTCATCAATCCATATTCTTTTATAATCAAAATCATGTTTTTTTAGTTTTGAAAACCTATTTTGCTATTTTAAATTAATTTTTATTTCTATAAATTGCAAGTTTTCATATTTTGTACTTTATTACATGCATCTATACATTTATTACTTGGATTTTTGATACAATAAAAATAACTTTAATTTTACTGGACTTACGAAGTGGATTTATATTATTTGCTTCCAACGTAAAATGTATTGATTAAATGGACCGGTGAAAAGTTATTCCTATTGTCCAAAAAAAAAGAGTTGTTGGTTCCTATAATATAGGAAAGAAAGAAGTTATAACAATACATAACAAATAGAAATTTGTTGATTTAGATGCAGTTATAAAAGAGTTGATTTATTTTTCGAAGTAGGTTACAAATAATTAATTGGACAAAACATATATCAATAGGTCATGCTTCTAATTTAATAGTATAGACTAGGTTTTGATTCGCGCTTTCAAAGCGCGGATTTATGTTTGATGCAAACTTTATATAATCCCATTTTCTATACATGTAGAATGTGGGATAAACTTATTTAGTTCATTAATTTTATCAAATATAGTATTTTTAAAAATGCAGGATAATCTTTCGGTAAAAATTTTATATGACCGCATTTTTGAGTTATATAAAGTAGAGACATGTGCATAAAATTCATAACTCGGCCTCTAAACTCAATCTAAACAAGAAAATTTAGATCGTTAACCGGTCAAAAATCTGAAATATATCAGAATGAGTTTTGTATGGTGGTACAAAATATATCTGAATCAAAGTGTTATTAGGCAGACCTGAACGAATAACCCAAAAACCAGAAAATCTAGAAAAAATCTGAATTGATCTGAATGTCCAATAACCATAAATATAAATATTTGAAACATAAATATATGTTTTAAATATTCAGTTCTATAATTATTTTAAATGATATTTAAAATTAATTATTTAAATTTTAAATAAGTACTTTAATATCCAATTCGGTAAAAATAAGTATCTTTTTTTTTTGTTTTGGCTTTAGACTTTAGATTTCCAAACCAATATAACTCAAAGCCGAACGATATATGGTTACTTTATCGGTTTTAGGATGTGTATAAATTAGAACCAAACCCAACGTGTTATATTTGAATTTGTTCCATACTTACAAACATGCATACTTACAAATTATGACACTTATGATGTGATAAAAATTAGCTTTGATTCAAAATATTTGACATGTATCCCAATAGGTACTTGAACTCCCAAGCATAACTTAAATTATCTTTTATATTTTGTTAAGTTAGTTTATATTTGATAAATATTTTATCTGTTTATTGGAATAACCCGTAAAATTATAATCATAAAAATACTAGTATCGTATAATTAAATATTAATAGTAGCTATTGGGGGTGATTGGTTAGGTTGTAAGTGCTGACTTTAACTTTAATTTTTATCTACATCACTTAAATCACCAATCATGCTTTATCTTATTTTTTTAAAGCTACAGCCAAAAACTAAAACAATGGTTGTAAAATTCTTATTTTCTAAAGCAATATCTTTTTTGCTGTATAAAATATGTTACTGTAACAATAAATTTTAAAGCTACATCTTTTACAGCTAAATCAAAAATTCTACAGACTATTTTCTACAGTAAACTTTTACAGCTACAGTTCAACCAATCATCCCCATTATTAATATTTATTTTATAAAATATATATATATATATATATATATATATATATATATATATATAAACGATTTTGAGACTTTATCTATGATAATAATATTATTATGTTGGAAGAATTTGTTATTATTATTTCATGGATCAGTTATAGATAATTAAATATTAATTTTTATATCCTAATGTTTTAATTTAGATATGTATAATAAAATATAAAATGATTTCATCTAGTTTATAATGTATAAAGTAGATTCATTTATATTATAATTATTATTTTGTGTAATTTTTTGTTACAAATATGAAATATTTATATATAAATGTTATAGAAAGTTAATTCTTAATCTATAAATCAAAATGAGTTAATACTCATTTATAATTTAATTTAATATTATTTACGTTTTTATTATTAAAATAATATTAAAAAAATAAATATTTATTTTTAAAATAAGAATATATTAAAGATATTGTTAAAATGTAATCTGAAAAAAGTAGTTAAGAGTATCTTTTTGATATCTTATTTTGAATATGTTTAAATATTATATTAATATTATGTTGTTATTTAATAATAACTAAGTTTGTTATATGTAACATAACATAAAATTAAATAAATATAATGTTTTGAGGTAGACTACTTGCAAGTAGATAAAAAGTGCTTCTGTTTTAATAGTATTGATGATTCTACTTAAGTTAATAATATGAAGATTAACAAAGAAAAAACGTCTATGTTGTTATAAATCATATTGTGGATTGCCGTCACCAGAACTTGAAACGGAACCAGAACCGTAGCGGACCGGCCCATTAAGGTTCTAGGTCGGACGAGTATTTTCTTAATCCTTATTGAATTATGATTTGGTGTTTTTCATATTCCATGTTGTATTATGTTTTATACTATTTTATTTTCCTAGTTGGTTTAGATTTTTCCTTTTTTTAGGAACTTGTAACTCCCTATATAAGGGTACCGTATATTTATGCAATAATAATACAAGTATTCCCCATACTTTCATAACACGTTATCAGCACGATCAAGTCCCTAAATCCCTGAGGCAAAGAATTCCACCAAAAACCCTAATATCTCTCTCGCGAAGAACCCTAGATGGCGTTGTAAGTCAAAGAATCACGTTTTCATTGTTAGACTGTGAAATAAATTGGTTAAATAGAGATATGGTGAAAACAAAGTAAAAAAGAATAGCTTGGTTGTTTTCTCAACAACTACTTCTCACCTACCTCTCAAACTCCTCCTATATATATGTGGTACTTCTTCATGTTCAAGATCCTCCCAAAACAAAAAGAAGAGATCCCAAAAGTGAGAGAACAAGAGAAGAAGAGAGTGTGCAAGAGACAAAAATAAGAATTTTTTTGTGAGAAAATCTTTCTTTCTAAGAAATTAAGTGTAATTTCTTAAATGTATTTCGGGTGTGAGTTGAGAGCATTGTAAAATTTTCTGGGTTGAAAATAAAAGATCTGTAACAGGTCCGAAGACATAGGCATAACTGGCCGAACTCTGTTAACAATTCTATGTGTGTCTTTCCGCTCC